AAATTAACGTTACTAATAGAAATAATAACAATGTATAATAACAATGTATATTTATATCAGTGCAAAAATTTTCAATAAATAGCTTCTCATAAATATAAATAATATTTATAAAGTTCCATTTACTGAAAATTTTTGCGCTGACACAAATATACATTGTTATTATACATTATTTTTATTGATAATGTTAATTATAAAATATAATTTTTACTTTCAACCGCAACCAACATGTTAAAATATTCTTCATCAAATCTGATACATATTAAAAAGGTTAATTTATACATATATTGAGTAATAATTAGAGTAATAATTATATATTTAAATAAAATATAAGTTTTTAACTTTTTATAACTTCTTAACTGTATAACTTTTTATGTGAAATTCACAAATAACTAAGATAAATACAAATTTAGCACTAAGAAACACGATCAGTTGAGACGTTTGATATAATATTTAATTTTATTGATTTGAGCGTGTCGTAATTAAATAAAGACCTGAACTTTGAAGAACTTTTATCATTAGCAATTTTAAATAATACTGTATTTAAATAGTATTGTAGTATTATATTGAAACAAAGCATCTTATTCCAAGTTATATAATAATTCTATTTTATAAACATGACATAACCGCGATAAGGTATAAATTATCAAATTATATAAATCCATAAAAGTACGTCTTAATTATTTGATGATAACAAATTAATCTTATCTGTTAATTATATAATACTTGATATTTTAATTATAATACTAGATACATATAGCAAAATAATGATATTTAAAATTCATTATCTTAAATCTCTCTCTCTCTCTCTCTCTCTCTCGTATATAATTTGTAATTATATAATTCATGAAATTATTATTGAAATAATTATTGAATAATTATTGAATATGTTAGTTTTTTTATAACGTTTTATAGTTTTCTAAATATATCACACACTTGTATTAATTCCTATTGTAAATATCCTTTAGATGCATTTGATTTAATAATCGACTCTACCATCCAATAATTTCGACATAGATTCACGAACCTAAGGTTTTGGTTCAATTAGACAGCAATTAGTATCAGTATTAATCGAACGGAGTTAACCGTTTGCTTCATGTGATATCCGTTCACATTAAATATTCACAACATTGCCAAACACCTTCATCGTTTCATAATTATTTATGGTTGTTACAACATTAAAGTACAATTGCTTATATATCGTTTAAAACTTTCAAAACTGATATATTTTTCAATTAATAAAATAATATTTAGCATTATCTTCTTCAAGATGACAATAAATAATATCAGCTTGCCACTTAGATTAGAATTTTTTGACATGTAAGAAGTGCGACTGCGCCGCTCGGCATTTTTCGGTCGTAAATACACATCATAATACACGTAAATACACGTAACATTCAAATGATTAATTCACAGATTTTTATATAATATTAGACTGCTATGCTTTATATAATACTATAGACAAATATAGCCGGATATGATGTACGAGTGTGCATACACCGTTATATATCATATTTTACACAAGGTGATCAAAATGTTACATTATAATTGTAAGATGATTATGCTGTTAACATGTCATAGGCATGATGTAAACTTGATAAGTATTTTTCGTAATATTTATATAATATATCTTAATGTTTATCTATCATTCATTTATCAATATTATGTACATACAAGTTGCACATTCAAGTTATGTACATACATGAGTAAATACTCAATATAATTTGTCCACACGAAATATGATTGCCATCCCCACTACTATTTGCACCTTACATAACTTTTTCGAACCATTTAGTACTACAGTCTAGTATTATATAAAAGTCTGGATTAATCTTTTTATTCATTTTTTTTGTTTTATATCAAACTTTTACGTTAATTATTAATTTAAAAACTACAAATGAACTTTTATCACTCTAATACTTGATGTTAAAAAAAAAATTACATTCGATCTTGCTTCATTCCATATATTCTTGCTGAACTTTCGACGCAATTTTGTCCAGAACGAATCGACGAGTCGAGAAAGAAC